AGAGGGGCTCATCAGTTGGCAAATGGTAAGGTAATTTGTGCTGGCATGATAGATGGCCTCTCATAAGGATGGCGCTCTCTTGTTTCTTCACAGAAATTTTAACTAGGGGAACACTTTGTTTGTAGCCCCAGGGGAGGGAAGGGGTGGAAGTGGTGTGGAGCTGGTAGTAGCTTTGGTGGTTGACAATTTTTTTTAAAGTCCTTTTTAAAATGACTGCATAGAAATGCCAAACTGTGGACAAAATGGGATGGCATTTTTTGATGTGGCCTTACTCTGGTTTTCTTTTTTGTCTCTTCTTAAAAAATCCAAATAATCGCACTAATTTAATCTCTGTTTTGACTGGGTGGGTGCTTGTAATGGGTGCTGCAGTTACACCTCAGGAGCATTTTGGGTATGTGTATTCAGAGCTCTGTTCTGAAGGGGGTAAATCAGTGCAATAAGTGAAAGGCTGGGAAAGGTTTCCAGAAGTGTCTGGGTTTGCCTTTATGCAGCTGAGCAATATCTTCCCCCCCCCCTTTCATTTTCTACTTTGCATCTGGAGAAGCCACTTTCTTCGGCTAGCTTTGGCTTCTGAGGAGTCTATTCTGGGATACCTGGTGTTTAAGGGTGTTGTAGCACCAGATTCAGAAACGGGACAGATCCAACTATATCTGTAACAAAAGAGGCTTCTGTCACTTGTCTTCGTAGTAGATACCCCCTATGAACATAGATGGCAACATACAGTCTAAGCAAGGAAGACATTTGGAGTTAATTTTGCCAGTTTACCTAGTTCCCAGTGTGCATCAGGGAGGAGCAGTAGCACAGCAGCCTGCTCTTATCTTTGTCTCAAGGCACATGAAATCAAGATGGGCGTCCTTACCCTGACCTTTCTGTCTGCGCCTTCTCTTCCAGTGCTGGAGGTGAGTGTTTCCTTCTACCATGCAGCCTTCCTCTAGCCTTTTCCCAAGCAGGGCTGTGGAAACAGTACCGTTTCTTGCCTTTTTCCTCCACTGTCTGTCACAGGTAGGTATTATGGGTCATAGACTGCCTTGCTGTGTGATTACAGAGCACCCAGCCGTAAGAGGGGTCACTTGGGGCATCTGCAGTACACCTTATTGGTAATGAGAAGAAGATGGCTTCTTTCAAAAGTGTTTTGCAGAGGCGTTTCTAGGAAGATGCTTTTGCGGGCTGGTGGATTTTTTGAGAATTTTATTGTGTCGCTCAGTTATGTGTGTAGTGCTTCATTTGCTGCAGCATGGAAGGGACCATGGAGTTCCATATAGCTCCCCCATCTCATCACTAGTTTCCATTTGTTAGTGAACCTCTGAAGTCAGAGCATGAATGCTGATCCCACTCAATTTAATCGGGAGCTACTCTTAACTTCAACAGCTGTTTTGTGTAGGAAATGTTTCAAGAGAGAAGAAACTCACTTCCTAGGCTTAGCCAGTGAAAACAAGTGTGAGTTACTGCAAATGGGCATAGTACTGTAGAAGTGCTATTTCTCAGAATTAGAACTGGGTCCTTGTGTCTTTTTTTTCTGCAACACCCCCTCAAATATTGTTACTGGAGTCAGATAAATGTGTGTGTATATATATATTTTTTTGGTTTTGTTTTTGTTTTTTTCATAGTGGGAGCTGCTTTATGCCAGTGAGGTTCAGTGTGAAGCTGTGCCATTTTTTTTTTTTCAGACTATCTCTGGTTTAAACTGGTATCCAAGAAGCTGCATGCTGTTGTTAGCTGCAAATAGGCTCTGAATACCCAATAAAGGTTAAAATAGTGGAAGGGGCACAAAATGTTGCAGGGAGCTGTTGGGTTTGAATAGAATTATAGAAATAATAATGTGAGCATCCCATCTGCTTTACACGTGTTTGGGGAGTGCAGCGGGCTGTCTGGGCTTGACCCATCCACTGGGGTCTGCTGCAGAAGTGCCATCATGGCAAAGGATGTTGTTGGCAGAGGCAGAAGAACCTCATCACAGCTGAGGAGGAAGAGGCTTAAAGGTGTGTGTGAGGGTTGCCCTGCAGTCCCTTCACATGCCATGTCAGGCAGAGCCCAGCGATCTCAGGCATAAAACGTCCCAAAAAATCAAAATAGCAGTACTGTCTGCATGACACAGGCAGGAGGGAAGTTGTCTGAAGCGCCACAACTTCTGTCGTTGGTGTCTTATGCACGAAGGAGGTCTCCTCCAGCCCGTGGTGTTTCTGCCATCTCTGCTGTGAGTGTTGGGTCCTGGCTTTGCTCCCTGAGCCCTTGGAGCTGTACTGGGGTGGCTTTGCCCTGGCAGCCAGGAGGTGTCCTTGCCATCAGGGTCCAAATGCAGCCTGTGATCTCATGAGCATGGCTGCTCCGGCGGTTTGTGGTATAGCTGCTCGTTGCCAGCAGTTATGTGCTGTGTTTGGGGTTCAGCTCAGCATGCAGCACCCCAAGGCAGGATGCATGTGGGGAGCCTTAGGGCTAACTGTTCAGTGTGTCAGTGTTCCTGAAGTCAGGCAAATTAGCCAGCTCTGAGACAAAATCTCCAGGTACAGCTCTTACACTAAAGAACAGTGACAGTTGCCTCTTCACCATCCAAGATGACAAGGCCCATACGTTGGTTTTGAGTAATCTAGGAAGAAAAAAAAATAAAACAGTTGTATTTATTTTCGATAACTCAGGTAGAATGGGTAAGTGGTTTTACAATGCTGATTTATGAGCTGTTGCAAAATGCAATAGCTGTTCATGATTGCAAATTTCATTGATCTTGACTCAAGAATTTCAGTACTGTAAATGTTTTATATACTTTCTTCTTCTCCAGTCCTGCCATTTGAAGTAATAAGGACAATTTGCCTCTATGCAGCAAAGTCAGGTGCCAGGAAGAGAACCCAGGTGTCCTGATTTACAGACCCACGTCTGCTCCTTTCAGAGTGGAAAACCTTTCTTTGTGAAAACAAATGCCTCCACTCCATGGATAGTCATCTGTGCTTTATCATGTGATTAGCAGGCAGTCTCTGGCAGGCTTATTTGTCTCACCATTCTATGGGAACTTCACCATGCCTAATCTAGTAGCTTGACCCCACCAGCATAAAGCAGCATACACGTTCCAGTTGGTCTTGACCATGGTGGTGACTGGTGACTATGCACCTTCCCATGGTATAAGGCTTCCAGTAATGGTTTGGTCTTTCAAAATGAGCCTTGGTGCTGGCTGTGGTAGCAGCTGTGCTGGCTGATGCTATGCAGTTATGAAAGAAATACCTGTGTTTCTTAGATGACAAGCAATGGCACTCTCCAACCATTTGGGTTTGGGGTTCCTGTGAGCAAATACTTGTGCTCTGGGTAGCTTCACTGCCTCTTCCTAGCCCAATTCACTTGCTTCCTCCAGAAGTAGCACTCTGTCATATGGGTGTTTGGCATACCACAGCAGGAGCAGTGCAGCTTGCATTTACATTTATGTGTAAACGTGACAGAAAACATTTCTATTCTTACTGGCCCAGTTTTCTCCTCACTGTGACTAACCATTGCTGAGCCACAGGAGTTAGCATTGCTGCCTTTAAGTGCTGTGGGCCCATCTTCTCCAAGGTTTATCTCTTTGCTTTTTTTAATTAAGTATGAATTTGGGGCCAAGCTACATCCCACTGTCTATTTAAGGAAGATAAAATGCCAGAAGTCCTGCTTTGGGCCTCTGAAGTCAGTTCAGAAGAACTGGGCTCAAAGAGCATATTGTATTCTGTTTTTCCTCTCGCTTCGAGTTCTTCTAATATCTGCAGACTGGAGAGGCTTTGCAGTGTTGTCTCTGGTGTGCCTGTGATATGCTGAGACACTGCTCCCAGGGACTGCTGCAGGCAGCACACCCCTCTCCTGTTTGACTCATTTTGGGCTCTCCGACGTCAGGCTGCCCGAGCTAATGCCTCCCAGCAGCTACAAGAGATGCGCTGAGAAGTGTGCCATGCCACGCTCCGCCTCATCAGCGTGGAGAGACAGGAGATGCAGTGACAGTAGCTTCTCCGTGTGTCTCAGCTGGCGCTAGCAGTGCTCGTTGCTCTCGGGTTTGCTGACACCCTGGTACTGTGTTTACTTGCACCGAGTCCCTTCGTGACTGGGCATCCTGATGGGTAGGAGGAATGGAGTGGAAAGGGACACTCGGAAGAGAAGTGGGTTTTGACTGTGCTGTTTGTCCTGAAACTATTCACTAATGACACGAATAATTTTTTTTATTTTTTTTTTTTAAAAAAAAGGCACTGCAAATCTTTTTCTCATGCTGCCCAGTTTCTATGCCAGCCTGAGTCTGCCGTGAGCCATGCTGAGCCTGTTGAACTGTGCTTAGGGATTGCGCCTGGCGACTGCCTGGGGATCCCCAAGAGAACCTGCTGCCATCTCTTCCATACTGTCTATTCTGCCCCTCAGCCTCCCTTCCTAAGCTTCACTGCAAACAGTTGCTATGTGTCACTTATTAGTGCTTGTACTCTTTGTGTTACCATAGCACGCACAGGCATTGCATGAATCTGTCACAGGAAAAACAGTCCTCACTCCCAGAACCCACAGTCCAGCTGCTTCTGGCAGGGACAGTGGCCCAGAGCTCTCAGGAAGGGTTGATGTTTGCATTATTTTTTTTTTCTTTTTTTTTTATTTCAAGACCTCTATTTCTATCTTCCTTGTCACTGTGCATGGGAGCACAAACAGCTCTAGCATATTTTTCATCCAAATTTTATCTTCCCATGCAAGATTTTAGGATTGAATTTTCTTGGAGCTCTCTAGGAAGCTTAGTGTTATGCAGGAATATCCTATCCTATTGTCCTGATGGGGGATAAATAACTTGGAAGAAATACAGGAGGTGTACAAATTAAAGTTTCAGTTTACAGGTTCTCTAGAAATGAACACAGTATTCTTGTTCTTCTCTATAAAATCCCAGTTTGCTTCCACTGAAAACGCTATGTTTTTGCCTGTGATTTTAATGGCGACAGGGCCAAGGGCTGTGGGGAACATGGGCAGAACTGTTTTTTTCCTGCAGACTTGCAAGCTAAGATGCCTTGTTCTTCCTGGCTGCAGAGCGCTGCGATGACTGGGGTGTGGACACCATGAAGCAGATCCAGATCTATGATGGGGAACCTGCCAAGATCAAATGCCCGCTTTTTGAGACCTTCTTGAAGTACAACTACAGCACAGCTCATTCTGCTGGTTTAACCCTGATCTGGTATAGGATCGGGCAGGACCGGGATCTGGAGGAGCCCATTAATTTTCGTCTCCCAGACAATCGCATCAGTAAGGAGAAAGATACACTTTGGTTCTGGCCTGCTCTTCTCAATGACACTGGGAATTATACATGCATGCTCAGGTAGGTTGTGTGGTTCTGGCTTCTGTATGTCTTCAGTGTAATTGAAGGACTTTCATGGAAGCGGGAAAATTATGCTGTTAGCATCAGATCTTTCTGTAGGGAGAAGACCATTTACATAAGCATTAATGGGAAAAGAATGTTACAATTATAAGACCACTCAGTGCTGAGCCAATTTACATCGTAATAATGCTTGGAGCCTTGCAAACGTTAATGAGTATGCCTCTTCTTGCTAGCTGCAAGTGTCTGTGAAAATATTATTGCGGAGCCCATGGCAAAATCCACAGGCAGTCACCATTAAGGAGTGATCTGTACGTCTAGGGTAAAAATAGCTTCAGATGCAGGGGTAATGTTTTGACTGCATGTTAATTTGGCAAAGATTCATGAGATTCAGACTTCTAGTAAATTAAAAGTGTCTCTAAGTGTGGAACAAAATGAACATAGCATCTGCTATGCTTTTTGTTCTTCCTCACTTAGTCTTTTGTTCATCATGTCTTTGACCCTATTATCTGCTTTACCATCAGGGGACTGGATGTTGCTTGTTAGTCATCTTTATAGGCTTTTCTGAACTAGTGTGGCCATCTCTGATGGTGTTTTCTTTCCCATTTATAAATGAGTCAACTAAGGCCACATACACCTCATCAGCACTATGATGCTCGTTATTGCAGAAGAGGTTTTTATTTCGCTCCACTGCTATAGGAGTAAACAAGTTTCAACTAATCAGCCCTATCCTCCTCTGTCCTTAGAAATACAACCTACTGCAGCAAAGTTGCGTTTCCCTTGGAGGTTGTTCCAAAAGACCAAAACTCTTGTGTGAGTCATTTGATAAAACCCACAGAGGAGATGTTCTACTTGGAGCATGCTAATGAGAAGCTCACATGTCCAGATATTGATGGGTTTTACCCTGCCAGTGTAACACCGACTGTCAAGTGGTACTTGGTAAGAAGGACTTATTTGGGCAGTGGGGGAATGCAGTGTTGTATCTGAAAAAGCAATGGTTGGCATGAGAATCATGGAGCTATGTTTCAGAGTCTCCCCAGTGATGAAGCTGTTAATGAAGCTTTACTAATTTTAAGAGTTTTTTTTCCAAGGGTAGAACTGCTAAATTGAGAGCTAACACTGAAACTTTTTTGACTAGCATGCACAAGTGGAGAATACTCTAGCAGGGATTTAGGAACCTCAGTTCAGCTGTGGGAAGTATACCTGACCTGCTGTGTGAGCCTGTAAAGGAAACTGACACTCATATTCCCTCTTCTGTAAAATAAACAAACAAAAACCCACCCACCCCCAAAACCAACACTTGCTAATGAAAATAGCATCCTTTCCAAAGTCCTCTGAGGTCAGGAAACGAAGTTGTACATCAGGCCTCTGCAAGGACCATGGGTGCCCTGTTTGACGCAATACAGCAAACCTCTATCTGAAGATGGAGACATCCCTACCCCACCCTCCATACTTCTCTGATAATTAGGCTGTCTCCAGCCATCCTCAGGCTCTTGCCGACAGAATTATAGCTCAACTTAATAAAATCTTGTCCTCATTGTTTTTCTCTAGGTGGATGCCTTTAGTCAAGAAAGAATAAGAATTCTCAGGGGATGTACAGCCAGAGGGTTATGGGACTGAATTCTCTAACTGCTTATAAAACACTTTTGGATTTCTAGGTAGAAGGTTCTGTATGAGTGAATTTAATAATAAAGAAAGTCGGTAACAAATACATCAGCTGATTTAAAAACAAAACAAAACAAACAAAAAAAAACCCACCCCAAAAGAAAAAATGCAAGTCTCAAACCCTTCAGGAAAAACTTACTTTTGTATCCAAGAGGAGCAGTTTCACTACAGTAGTTGAAATGCTTTACTTGTACCATTCATTGAATTTCACATCTCAAGAATCAATTAGCAGAATGAAACAAAAAGCCCCATGGAAGTAATTTTTCAGACAGCAAGTCATCTCATGCCTAATAAAAATCATTAAAAATGGTGTATGACCCCTGTCTTAAGCTGCCCCATTAGGATGTATCTGATTTGGAAATATACCATTCAGAAATAATCTCTTAGAAAATGTGCACATCTTTGGGTTTTATGACAATCAAGATGTCATCTGCATAACCCCTTTCTGAAAAGGGATCTCTAGCTTGGTACTTGGCAGAGGTTTCCTGTCTCGCCTGACAGAAAGAGAAGAGTTATTAAGACTTCTGTATTACAGATTCTCATTTACCAGTTGCCAATTCTGGGGCCTCATCCTCAGCTGAAGTCAGTCAGGGTAGCTTGATTAGTCCCAAAAGAGTTAGACACGCTGACATCAACGGGGGACATGTCCTTTAGTCTTAGTCATTTGTAAATACATCATTTTCTTCCTGTCTCTTTTCACTTTCATTCTTCACTCTGCTGAGGTGCTCACCTTGATTGCAAATGTACTTCTGGATCAGAGATCTCTCTCTCATAAAATTGTCTGCTTCATCACCTCATTTTCAAGGTGAACATACCAGCTTGTATTCCAGCAAGCTCAAAGTTCATGGTATTTAGGTCCAACCTACATCACAATCCCAAAAATCTTATTCATAGTTTAAGAACAGATCTTTGTAGTAGCATTTAAAGCAATATCTTTACTTTTGAATCCCAAAACTCAAGTGTTTTTCTGCCTGACTCCAGAACTGCAACTTGGTGGATGGCTTCTATGAACGATACCTCCCAGGGCCCAATCTTGTCATCGGCATTGTCCGCAGTGTGTACAAAGGGAATTACACTTGTATTGTGACATTCAAGGACCACGGAAGAACCTATAATCTCACCAGAACCATAAAGATGAAGGTGGTGGGTAAGAATGACTTTAAAATGTGTAAAATGCAGGTGGATAACTGCAGAAGTGGTGAAAACAGCTAGAAGAGTCTGTCACGGGATCTATTTGTGGTTGTTCTCAATCTGCATTACCCAACTGACCTGGTATATTTTTGCTTGCTAGGGTCAGCCTTATGTGACTGCCCAGAGCATGTTGCACTGAAGGTCCTACCCACCACTGTGCCCCAAACAGCACAGAGACTGACCAGGGTTAGGCTGGTGAGGTACAGCCCATGAGATGGCCAGGGGTACCCTCTGCTGGCATGTGAATGCATAACCCTGGCAATCTTGCTAATTTTTGTCTCCAGTGCCCTTTGCTTGTCATTATTTGTGGGATTGTCCCATTATAGCCAGCTTGCCTCGGTCTTCTTGCAGTCTCAAAGCCGTGTGTGCTGAGGTTGAGACTGTTAATTGGCCAGGCAGGGCTCCAGTTACCCAGCCCAGTGCTTGGACAGGTCCATCCCAGGCACAAGGGCTTAGCCTACCTGCCAGGCAATTGTAGACAGAGCTAAAAAACCTGGTGAACAGTAGAGCACGTGCTGAGTCCCATGGCAACTGCTGCTTTAAGAGCTGATTTAAATACTTGCAACAGGAAACTATGTCTTTTATGTCTTAGAAGCAGCAATAAAAAGAAACTGGTATGGGTTGGTTGTGCCTTGTGGGAGATGTTGAGTGGGAGAGGAGGGGTATGGAGCTCTCTTCTTTGAGAGGCCCAAAAAATTGTATCTAGACTTACCTAAACTTAGGAGGAGCCTCAAAATCTGGGTCTGGCCCTGAGTTTGGGGACATGAGAATTAGGTTTCTCTTTGCATGGAACTCTGCAGAAGGATTGTATCACAAGTTTGGGGCATGTGCAGCGGGGTGCGAGGGCATCGTGAGCGAGGCTGCAAGGACCTCAGGTTCTCATGAAGTCTGCGTCCCTGTGGGGGGCGCTCTGTTCTCTCCTGCAGGATCTCCAAACAAAGCCTTACCACCACAATTCACCTCTCCAAATGAGAAAGTTGTCTATGAAGTGGAAGCAGGTAAATTGCAATGCTCGCTGTCACTGCCCTGGCAGGCTGCCTGCTGGGACAGGTAGACCCAGCCGGGCACAAGCTCTCCCCTTCCCCTGCACCCTGGTGCTTTCCCTTGCAGAGCACACGAGCTGCCACAAGTTGCCTGGCAGACAGTGTGGGGTGCCAGTTCTCAATGCCAGAATAGGAGAGCACAACTTTGAAAGTTTATTTTTGCAAGCACAAATAAAGGTAGATGTTCAGGCACAGAGATGCAAGACTGCAGCTGCAGAAGCAGATCAAACAGGGACCCCCAGCTGCTTAGAGAAATTCCTGTAGGACCTTGTCTCAGCCGTGTCGCTGGCTGTGGTTTGCTCCAACTCTCCCTCATTCAGCCCCTCAGTGGCTTCAGCCTTCTGGCCACTTCTTGCTCATCTGGTCTCCCTTTTTGGCTAATTACTTCCTAATTAATGACAATTCTTCTTTTGCTGGCCTCGCAGCATTGTGTAGTGGGGTACCATACCCCTTCCCCCACCCCATCTGTTTAAACTGATAGGTCTGGAGCAATCCCCTGTATTGAATGGATTGTGTCCCATTACATTGCTGTAATAAATGTGATGCCAATGATAATGATTAGCAGCAGAGTCTTCATTTTAAATCACAGGTTTTTTGGCTCAGAAGGTCAGACTTCTTCTGTAGTTACTCTATAAGATAAAATCACTGATGGGCTGATCGCAAAGATATTCACGCTCCCAAGCCTGATCTTGAGGGGAAGTTAAATGACTGAACGAGTGTTCCCACAGGGATATGCTTTTGTGGAGCTGGATCCTTTGCTTTATGGCATCTGTCCCCTGTGCAGTGGGGATAATTAACACTTCCCAGCTTTCCAAGGAAGTGGTTGGCATGGAGCATCTCTCTTTAGGTGCATCACTTGGTGCAGTTGAGGAATTTGTAACACATTTGAAAAGGCAGGATATTTTTTCCTATTTAATTGTATGTCATAAATCAGCGCGTCCGGGGTGTTAAACTGTTATCAGATGTCTGAAGGTGGATGCTGGCCTCATTCCCTCCTGAAGGGAGGCAGAGCTCAGGCTGGTAGGATCAGCGGAGAGCACAAAAGTCAGGGTGATGCTGTTCCTGCTTTGCAATACCTCACCGTGGTCCTTTTCTTCCCAGGAGATGATCTTGTTCTATCCTGTGAGGTCTTCTTCACTTTTCTGAAGGACTCCCGAACTGAGGTGTGGTGGACCATAGATGGGAAAAACACAGATGACATCACGGATCCCAAGATAAAAGTCACACAAAGGTAATGTGAACCTTCGTTTGTATCTGACCCTCTCTTGGGTCCTACAGAGGGGCGTTGATACAGACACGTGACAGTCCTGTTTTCCCTTGTAAGGGAGTGTGGAGTCCCTCACTTTCCTGTTAATCAGAAGGCCCCTCTGTCTGTACCATGCCATGATAAGCACCAGGAGCTCCGGGGAGGAGGCCTTCAGACCTGGACAATGTCTCATCTTACAGAAGAATTTGAGGGAGCTTTGTTTACGAGTTCCTGTCATCACTTTTTTAGATCCTGGTAGTGGTGCCAACAGCTGGTGCTATTGTGGGACCTTTAAAACAGGGGCAGTCACAATTTTGTTTAGAGGAATTTTCCGAAACAGCCTAAGTGATAAAAATGTTTCAAAAAACAGAGCCTGAAAACAGAAATGTAGTATTATACATAGTATTGATAAGGAGGAATAGAGATTCAGTTACATGAAAAGCCCAAATGAGGTTGGGTCCTGCTTGCTGGGTGCTCAATTACATGCAGAAGGCAGTCGCTGCCCCAGTCAGTTTGCAAACCTACATAGAAAAAGGAAAGGCAAAAGGAAATACTATTATCCTCATTTTGCAGATGATCGACTCAGGCAGAGACGGACAAAGTGACTCATCGAGGATTGCACAGGGAATGTGACGTGGGCTCTGAATCCTGAGTTCATGAGATCTTGTTGCTTTGTAGGCAAGAACTTCCTTTGTCTCTAAAACGCAATGTGAGACAGCTGCAATGAGAAAATTATGAGTGGCAAAATAAATATTAAGGAAAATCAGATAAAGGAATAGCTGCCGCTGTATTAATCTGAAGTGTGTATCAATTTATAAATATCAGTTTAGGTGTTTTTATTTTTTTAAAGAAGGAGTTGGGTTATATCAGAGAAAGGAGTATTTGTCACTAAACTTGCTGCAGTTTCACATATCTAATTCTAGTTTTTGTCTTACAGTGAAATTACTAGAGAGTTTGAAGACAAAACTGTCATAAAGACTCTAACAGTTGCGAAAGCCACACCAGAGGACTTGAAACGGAATTATACTTGCTATGCCAGAAATGCCAAAGGCGAGGACCGTAGCCAGGCCATAGTGCGCATGAAAGGTAAAATACTTGCAGAGCATGGGTGTGAAATGAAGAAGTTCAGAGGGGGCTGTTGGTCCTGCCTTGAGCCTTGCCCTGAAAAACAGTAGGGGAACAAATAATTCCATCAGGCCTTTTTCCCCCAACACACAGTTGTGTTCACAGTGCTATATTATTACTGTCATACCTCACCACTTCTTGAAGTCAGGGAGCAAAAGACACGTCACATATACCCTACCACAGTCAAGTGCCTGGGGAGGGAGAGGGGTGGATAGACCTGCTGTTGTTGTTGCATCCGTGTACCACAACTGAAGCGGACCGGAGGGGTCAGGCTGCTCAGATTGACTTCAGGTTACTTGATTACGTGAGGTTTTGTGTGATGCAACAGCTACCAGTTGACATCCTCCAGAAGGTAGACTGCGCTTGCTGACATTGAGGGAGTGAGACAGTATAACCATGATGCTCTGCTTTTTTACTCCTTGCTGTGATGATGCTCCAGTCTAGATACAGCCATCTCAGCAGGGCTGGTATGGATTGATCCAGCTCTGTTCAGGTGTGGGTTTTTTCCTGCATGATTCTTTTATCAAAAGCTTTGTTCCTGTTTCACAGACCCACCTCTCAGTGGTAAGAACTGAGCCTTCACTATAGGTATGTGAGGTTTCCTGATTAAGGTGGTTATTTCCACCTCCTTATCAACCTCATCTAGAGCTTCAACACCTGCTTACTGTAGGTTGGACCTCCCCTCTGCCATAAGGGATGCTGTCCTGACTTCTGTAGCTCATGTCAGACACCTTCTTCCCCCAGCTCTGCCCTATTAGCATGGGATGGCTCACAGAGGTCTTTACTGGAAGAGCTTTTTCTCTTTCTTCTTGGTACTTGTCCTCCTTCCTTTTTAGTCCCATTCCTTTGAGACAAACCTTTTCTGGATCATTAGGAAGGAACAATAGACCAAACACACAACTGAGAAAGGCTGAAAGCATCTGCCAGTGTGGTCATCCCACATACATAACTGTTCTGGGATGGTAATGTTTGTACATGTAGCAGAAGCAAATCTGTACAGCAGTTCCTAAAATGCTGTTTTCTAGTGGACTGATCTGTGCTGTCCTCTCTCTTCCTCCCCTGAGTGTTCCTGGGCAGTTGAGTGGGTTTGCTCTGAGCAGACCTGGTTACTCACCATCCCTCCTTTCTGCTCTGTTCATGGCAAAATCCAAGAACCATACCCCATCACTGCTGGCAGAGCAACCTTAAGCTAAGTTCACTGCAGACTGTCCCACTGTGCATAGGAATATCAAGCATGCCAGAACCTAACCCCTCAGAACTTGTCTTCCAGTTTTTAGCAAGTAGCTATATATGTTGGCTCCAACTCTTCCATTACATTAGGTTACATGTTTCCTGCGTTTTCTGGATTATTTCCTTCTTCTCATATACTTCTGCTGCTCATGACCTAATGAAAGTTGTTGAATTCCTTCCGTTTTCTTTTTTGTAATTCAATTTATAATCAAATTTATTAAATCTTGGAATTTGGTGATGTTTCCACTCACTGCTGTTCTGTATGGTGCAGTTTGCCAGTGTGCATGTCAGCTGCCACCTGAATCCCCATAAAAACAGAGTTGCCCGGGCATACAGTTAGAAGAGTTATTTTCTGTCCATAATACAAAGAAGCAGTGGTGTGACAGACACTATATGAGTTGGAGGAGGGCCTATGATATTCTGGCTTAATGTCCACAGTTTGTCCTATTTGTTTGCAAGTGTTTCAGCTTTTCTGTAATGAACTCTGATTCTTTGTTCCTGGTAGGAAATGATCAGGCCATGGCTAGTTACGTCCTTGCTGTCAGTCTGGGACAAGCCACTAGAACTGTGTGTGTTTGATGGTGAGGGGAAAGTGGTGGCCATTGCCTGTATTTTGCTGCAGGTGAGCTTTGGCTGGTTCTCCTAGAAGTAGAGTGCTGTTGTGTTGCCCCAAGAGTTTGCATACACTGCTGAGAAGGTCACATTTGTGAGCTGGCTTTGGACTGTGCAGGTGGTTGCCATCAACAGGTCATGCTACCCTTTGCCTGCTCCCAGGGTCTTGCTCAGACTGAAGTCCAGCCTGTGCTTTGACTTGATCTGACAGCCCAACCAGACCTAACCCAGAATGGGGACTCCAGAGTGGCCAGCCATCATGTGTCCTGCCAGAAAAGCCTTGGCTTGGCCACCTTCCTCTGAAGGGCCAGCTTGGCTCTTGGGTGTTCCTTTGGGGTGTTTGGCTGCATGTGACACAAGCTTGTTCCTGTTTATCTGAAGGCTCAACCTTTTCTGTAAAACACACCCCCTATTTCTTTTCAAACCCAGTTGTAGCACCGAAGTACACCGTGGAGCTGGCCTGTGGACTGGGGGCAACCATCCTGCTTGTCGTGGTGCTGATAGTCATCTATCACGTTTATTGGCTTGAAATGGTCCTCTTCTATCGGGCTCATTTTGGAACAGATGAAACCATTCTAGGTAAGGATTTAGAAGGCTTACATTGATTTTATCCTGCTACAGGCCAGACCCTTCATTTTCATATAGAAATTTTCATATAAGCTATTTTTGATCCTCTTCACAGTATAATGATGACCTTCCCTTTCTATACCTGCATTCAGTTATATGAGTCATTTTAGAGCAAGAGGAGTCAGGCTTGGATTAGGGAGAAAGAGAGAGAAGTCCTCTCTTTGCTCTGCAGCGATGAAGCATGGATGTGTCAGGCTCCCTGGGGCAATGCCCTGCTGATGGCTAGCTGTTTCATCTGATTTAGATGGTCAAGATAAGTCATCCAGTTTCAGTAAGTCCCTGGTTTCTCTGGTGACTCTATGTAAGGATTCACAAATCCAGGATGATTTGCTTTAAAATGTGGGAAGGTATCCAAAAGATGGATCTGGAGATTACCCTTCTGTCCTCAGTTCTTCCACAGCTTCCCCGTGTTACTGGGAGTTCATCTCTTGGGACTCTGAGCTGAGATTTCTTGCTCTGTAGGATGAGGAGGGTGTTCGAGCCCTCACAGCTTGTGGTGTGAACCTGCCAAGGGGGTGCGGCAGCTCTCGGAGGGTGTAGGCAGGGTGCAAGTCTCTGTCTGGTAGGACTGCTCATGTGGATAGACAGCAATGAGAGGAGGCAATGTCAGAGATGACAAAAGGACCCTGGACAGAATGGGTTGGTCATCTTGCTGCTGTCTCATGCCTTTAGCGACCCAGCAGTGTCTGAGTACCTGTGCGTTCAGGCTGGGTAGTCAAAGAGGCAGTGCTGTTGTCTTGTAACTATGGAAATCAATGTGTCTTAACCTAGGATGCCTGGGCTCAAAGTGAGCCTTCATATGTGCTTTTCCTGTGAAGCAAGTCACAGGCTCAGCACGTGCAGTATCGTAAGTGTATCTTCTGCCATTTGTCTTTCTCTGCGCTCCCAATGCTCAGACGGGAAGGAGTATGATGTGTATGTGTCCTATGCACGCAACGCGGAGGAGGAAGAATTTGTGCTGCTGACACTGAGGGGAGTCTTGGAGAATGAGTTTGGGTACAAGCTGTGCATCTTTGACAGAGACAGTCTCCCTGGGGGAAGTGAGTATTTCACAGGGGACTGTGCTCCATGCACATCCTCTCTTTATTATTCTTGAAGGTACTGATAATTGATAGGAACTGGCCTATGCAGATTAACTTTATCCTTTGTTTTTTTTCTCCATCTCCATTAATGATCTGTTGTTGGCATCTTCTAATGTTTTTGCTTTGCGTGACAACATTGCAGATGCTCCAGGCCACCAAAAAGGCTGCGGTGGGCAAGTGGCGGTGGTTGGTCGTTTCAGTTGCTCTCCCCAGGAGTGATGTGCAGGAGTGATTGATTTATCAACATGAGGGAACTGGACCACTGACCTTCCTGCAAACCCTCTGAGCTGCCTTAAAAAAGGGGATAAAGTCAAGGCTAGGAAGAAAAGACAGGGGGAGTGTGATACTGGACCAGACTGGTAGTTCACATAGGGTAATAGTGAGTGCCTGTAAAAAGCAGGAGTATCTGCTTCAGGGAGGTGTGGAGAGCACCGTGCCAACATCAGTGAGAAGATAGCATGCCCTCCCAGAAGGCCTCCCACTCACCCTCGTTAATTAGAGTGTCTGTGTCTAACATGGCATACAATTAAGTTACTATGATTAAGAATACTTTGTTGCAGATAGTGAGACTCATCTCTTCACTAAGATGCAGATTTTTTTTTTCACTGTTTTAAGCTGAATCATACAAGGTTCTGGACACAGTATCTGCTGGAGGGATGCAGGGAATCACCAAGAATGGAAGTTTGTGAAACACTCCAGATATGCATACAGTCACACAGGTGCCACAGCAAGGGCACAAATCTAGCTAACCCTCTGAGTTTCCAGTGTCCTGGGGACTGAGTTGGCTGTATGATTCCTGATGCCTACTAAAAGTTCAAAGCCTGAAGTTTTGCTAGTGCAGATCACCCCACTTTGAATTCATGGGCTTTGGGTCAGAACCCCACTGATCACAGAACCTGTGCTGGTAAAATCCATTGGGGTCCCTTTTGGGTAGGACAGTAGGGACTGATGGAGTCCTAGCCTCTATGTGACAGAGGAAGCAGAATCAGTCTGGGATCTATCTTTGTCTCTTAGACCATTACCAGGACATGGGACCTTTAAGTTTGCTGCCAAATAAATATGTGTGCCTCAGGGGACCAGGAGACAGCTGCAATCCTGGTGCTGTTGCTTCAAGAGAGAGCGAGCTTTGATGACATAGCAGGGCACCATCCAGGCTCTATTTGCTTGATGACAGTGCCAGGCTTAGGGCAGGTTTGCTCTGAGCTGTTCTCACCAGTTGTTCCTCAAGACGTACATCTCCTTCCTGTTGCCTCTGCTGCTTCTTGCCATCCTTCCCCTTTCCCTCTGGAAGGTCTCATTTTCCTCCCAGCATAGCTCTCCCGGGCTCCCTGTCCTTCACCCTCACCCCCAGAGCGCTCCCATGCCTGCTGACTGTGGCAGTCACTACCAGCCTCAATCCAGCGCCAGCCCTCCGGAGCACTCTTGGGGTGGTTTGTCATTGCACTGCCTTTTGCAACACTGCTGAGGCTTTCCCATTGCTTCTTAGGTCAGATTTGACTGATCTCCTTCTTGGGGAAGCATGGTGGGCCAAGAAACAGCTTTTGGCAGCTGGTGTCATGCCTCCAGATTGTGCATCTGTGTCATGGATGTAGAGTTATGTTGTCCTTGATGAAGAAACAGTAGGAGATGGATTATCCTGCGAGTTTGCTGACAGGAACTAATCAAATGTGCTTGACAGCTAAATGAAGTTGCCTGTCAGCGTTATTTTATTCTCCGTTGTATTCTCTGACCATTCAAGAGCGTTCCTTTGTCAATGAAGTGTGGGAGACCCTGCAGCGGAGAGTGCAAGCACTGGGATTCACACTTAGAAGGAATTTTCACATTAATTACAGAAAAGTGCCTAAGGACAGTCTACCTGCAGATGTTAGAAATTCAAAGAGGATCCATAGTTACCATGACATACCTCCAGCTCAAAAGATGTTGCTTTTGGGACACTTCATTAAAAGTTCTCAGAGCTGTTCACTTGTCAATTCTAGAAACTCTCAAATCTGCTTTCATTGATGACAGCAACAGCTGGATGAGTAAGAGGAGTTAGGATGGTAACATTTCGAAAGCAAAGTAACCCATGAGGACACTCAGGGAGGGTGTAGGTACGTTTTGTGTGGGGAAACCGAGGCAAGAGGAGTGAAGGGATTACCCAGAGTCATTCTGGACATCTGCCAGAGGAGGATGTAAGCGTAGGTATTTGGGCTTCCTGACGGCTCCTCAGACTGAGTCTTTTCCTTGAGGTAATGTGTTGTACAGCTGGCAATTTTCCTGCTTTGCTCCAGAAAGCCTCTTTTTCCACTCTCACTAGAAGGAAGCTAAATCTAAGCCTACCAGAGCAGCCTTCTTGGCCACATGGCATCCTCATATTGGGTGGTGTCACTGCCACGTAGTACAGTGCCTTTTAGATGTAGCTACCTCAGGCATCTCTGCAGAGCATGGGGAGGAGCAAACACATCTGTAGGCAGCCTGGGGCTGGGAGTAGAAGATGTCACTGTATGAGGAAGTGGGTACCAGCCATGGTGTAGGAAGCCCTACCTGGAATTGCTTGCAGGGTTGGGAAGCACCATTACAGTCTCTAGAGAGGACTTCCAAAGGATTTTATTGTTTCCTTCAAGAGACACCTGGTGACATGCTAGCAGCTCAGCAGCATGTTCTTGGCCATCACTAACCACTTCAATGTTTCTTTCTCCCAGTTGTCACAGACGAAACCCTGAGCTTCATCCAGAAAAGCCGACGTCTGCTTGTTGTCCTGAGCCCCAACTACGTCTTGCAGGGGACACAGGCCCTGCTGGAGCTCAAGGCTGGTCTAGAGAATATGGCCTCCAAGGGCAACATCAAAGTCATTCTAGTGCAGTACAAAGCCATCAAGAAGAGCAAAGTGAAGGAGCTGAAGCAGGCCAAGGCAGCCTTGACTGTCATTAAATGGAAAGGCGAGAAATCCAAGTTCCCAAAGGGCAGGTTCTGGAAGCAGCTGCAGGTGGAAATGCCAGTGAAAAAAATCAGCAGGAGTTTGAGCCTTGATGGGCTCATACGTATCCCGGAAAAATGTTTGACACCATCAGAAAACAAAACAAAACACACTCCAAAAATCCACAACTTAGGCCAGGGAGTGTGAAGGAAATCAGGGTTATTGCCATGAAGGACTGTCCCCCAAGCATTTCAGAGGACAGTCATGCCTCCCTGCAGCTTTTCTACTGCCCTGGCAGTAGAGAGACCAAAGATGCATACACCTTCTTTCTGCAAATGCACATCCTTGTCATCAACCACACAAGCCCTGGGCTCAAGGTTTAAATTTGGGCTATCCAGGGGGGTGCAGCCAGCACCTTGTGATAGCGTGGTATTTGTATAGGCCAGTACTCCTAGGTCCACTTCCTATGGGAACCTTCGCCAGCCTCCACGACAGACCTCCTTTCCTCTTCTAAGCAGCTTCACTCCTTCTTAGTTGTTGGTCCCCGTTGCAGATGCTGGGGAACAGTTTGAAAGGTGGCTCCAGTATAGAGCCCTTCATCCGTGTCCCGGCTACATAGTCCCAATTACTGTGGGATCACAGATTTCTGCTTCAGTGAGGGCAGTGTAGACTCTTGAGGCTCCTCATCTTTGCTCCCCACATTTCTGTAGGAGCAGGTGCATTCAGGTAGTTTGGCAACGTGAAATGGCTGTTACAAAAGTATCTAGGGAAAAAGAAAAAAAGCTCTGCTAGGTGATATTCGTATTGTAGCGTTTCTGCTGACAAGTGGTCAGTCTCTGGGACTCTGCAGTCTCCGGAGTACCCCAGATTCTTCAGGGCTGTAATGCATGTAATCCAGGGGAAATCTCTTCTTAGTGCAGGCCATGGGTCTTGTCTGAGAGATGTTTCTTTGTAGAGTAAACTCAGGGACTTCACAAGCACTGCAAGGAACCCAAATTTACTACTGAACCTGCCTCCTGTCTGTGTGGTACTGGCTGGGGGAAAGCATCATGCAAGGTGCTGCTGAGGCCTCTGGGATGATACTGGATATATGTCCAACTCCCCAGTAGACCTTACAAGCTTATCTGAACTTACTAAAAACTACTAGCTTGTCTAGCTGGGTAAGACTATGAGAAGAAGCTGAGAGAGTTGGGCTTGTTCAGCCTGGAGAAGAGAAGACTCCAGGGAGACCTTATCATGGCCTTTCAGTACTTAAAAGAGGCTTATAAGAAAGATGGGGACAGGGGCCTTTAGCAGGGCCTGTTGCAATAGGACAAGGGGTAATGGTTTTAAACGAAAAGAGGGCAGATTCGGGCTAGATTTAAAGAAGAGATTTTTTATGATGAGGGTGGTGAAACAGTACAACAGGTTGCCCAGAGAGGTGGTAGATGCCCCATCCCTGGAAACATTCCAGGTCAGTTTGGACAGGGCTCTGAGCAACCTGGTCTAGTTGAAGATGTCCCTGCTTATTGCAGAGTGGTTGAACTAGTTGACCTTTAAAGGTCCCTTCCAACACAAACTATTCTATGATCCTATGAAGACTCAGCGTTCTTTGCCTGGGTATGAACAACATCACCATTTGTAATTCAGGGCTCAGGTTTACACTAGCCTTAGCACTACAAAGCAAGTCTTGACCCATCTTGTTTCCAGCCCAGAGTTGCAGTACAGAGGATGTATGTCAGCTTCTGCAGCCTTTGCACAAAATCGAAGTATAAAAAAACCTGCTGAGTACCAGTTCTTGCTTCAATGGGAGGCAGCAGGCATAGGAGAGGACCTGGTGAGTCAACCCCTGGCAGACAGGCTTTTCAGACCAAGAAGGGGAGTGTCTCCCTTGTGGGACAGACCAAAGCACAGCAGGACCCTGGCATTAACTGGTACTGGTGTTCGCAATGTTTTCACATAAAACTACAAGCTCTGGGCGGGTCTCCATACTCCTGTAGCTCCCAATTCAAGGGCCTGCCCACTTAATTGTGGAATTCAGTATTGCGCACAGTAAATGCATGCTTATTTTTTGTTGATAATGGTCGCTCCTGAGTCACCTCTGACTGACTCATGCTTTCACTCTGTTGGTGTCCAGTGGGTGAAGCGTATCCATCCATAATGGCATTAAAAAAGCACTACAGTTTGGAGTGTATGCACTATTCACCCAGCTGAGCAGGGAGGTTTGAGGTCATCTCAGTGAACAGCCCAGCCTTAAAGGTGTGGGGCTGAATCCTGGCATCAGTGAAGCCCCTTGATCTTAGCATCTTATGATTAATAGTGCTATTCCAGGGCAGTAGGAAGTCACAGCCACCCATGCCATTGGGCAGGTGCTGTACAAATGTGGGCCAAACAGATGACCTTTCTCACCTTCCTCTTCATCCTCCCCACCCCAAGTAAGCTTTGTTTTAAAGGTAAAATTGCAGTCAGCTTCACTGAAGGCAGTGGAGCTCCTCATCTGCTCAGAGGTGCTTAAAAGCTTTCTTGTTATGAGCTTTTCTACTGTGGCTGGCTGTGGATGAACAAATCTGCTTCCCACACTCCAGAAACCTTCATTTATATGAGATAGCACCCAAAACCATGCTCAGCTTTGTGAACCCATTGCAACTGTGTCATTTTGCCCAGTTTCACCTTTTTATTTGTGTTTTCAGCATCTCTGTAATCAGCTGCCAGATCTGCAGGCAGAGGGAAGGCCCTGAGGCCAACGCAGAACTGTGATAGATTCCAATTTGACTGACTCAAAAATATACATAAATTCAGTTGATATCACAGACCTCACCACATTACATCTCACTTTTGGCTGAGGTACCAAGAGAACTTCTGATATTTTAGTGAGTCTGATTATTTTAGGAAGTTAAATCCATGTCATTTATTTTGCTGATTTTATTCAAAGAGGTTTCCAAATAAATAATAGACCAGGACTTTCTCCGGCATACATTGCAGTGGCCCTTGGTGCCCTTGCAACCCCAGAACAGGATTACTGAGAGACGTCAGCAGAGCACCCACAAGGCAAAAGGTGCGATGGTCTGAAAGAGGCCCAAGAGGCCAGAGGGAGCAGCGTGAAAGGAATTGTGCTGGAGCAGGCTCTGCTGCCCCAGGAGCTTTACCTCTGGCTTTGCTGGGAGCTGTCAGGCCAAGGGTAGAGCCCAGCCCCAGCTGTAATGCAGATCTGCAAAGCACCTCAGATATGCCTGCCATTTCATCTTATGCCGTGTGTGGTTTCCATTATGGGGTTCTGTCACAGCATCTGTCTAGTTTGGTTGATTCGTTTGAGATTGCGTGCTCTAACCTAACATTTATCAATATGCAGCTCTTACAGAGTTCCTCATTGTTATTTCATGGGGAAACAGCGTGGCACAAATTGGAAAAAAAAGTCTCCCCCCTCCCATGCCATTTGATGTTGTACAGCTGTTCCAGAGTTTTCCCTTCTCTTTTCTGTATGTTTTTGCCTTTGTGTTATTTGGTCTGTGAAGTGTCAGTATTATTTTATTTTGCTTTTCAATAAAACATTTTCACTTTTGCATTTCAGTCCTTGTGCATTTCTCATAAGTATCATTTTCCTCCCCATTACATCTGCGAAAGGCTGTTAAAGAAAGATGACTGTGTGTAGCCCAAACATCAAGATCATTTGGGGACACTTCCTTAGAGGGGAGAATTTTCCTGACTGTTTCATGGTGTGCCTGCAGAGATCCTGAGGCACCACTGCTGCTACCAGGTCCATGCAAGCAGAAACACAGTGACACGCAGCATTCAAATGTCACCCAACAGTGGACATGCACACACAGAAAGTCTCTGACCCGAAAAGTGCTCCCTCAGCAATCACAAGATAAAAAGATGTGAAGGAAACACCATCCCTTTGCTTGAAAGACCAAGCCAGTGTTCCAGTAAAAATCTTGGAAGTCTGCCCTAACCACAAAAATCAAACTCAGGCTGCTTTGCCCATCACCTTCCAGGTATTTGGGTAGAAAACGTTCATTCAGCTTCATATTTTCTCATCCAAGCCACTTTCTTGGCTTTTTCCCTTGTTTGCATGCCAGCAGGTAAGTTGAGAGAGAGCCTAGCACTTCCAGACCACTAGCAAAATCAATATTTTTGACAATCTATGGATTTGGGGGCTACAGGGTTTATGACTACCCCAGCTTTTATTGGTCTGGGACAAATGTGTGTCTCTTATAATCCTCTGTTACATCTCTGGAGTGCATATGGGAGACACAGTTAAACCAAGAAAAATACGCAGTGTCTTCGTAACTATGTAGTAAAGATGGAAGTTTTTTAATATAAAGCAGATATGCAAGAGAATCAAATTCCCAGCTCTGTTGGTACCTAAACCCCATAGTGTTATTGCTACCTGCCCATCCTGTGCTGTTGGTGTCTGGGAGGAGCCATCCTGCCTGCACACTGTAGAGTGGCCACTCAGGATTTTTCATGAGCTGGGATTACATTTTAAACTGAGCATCCCAAAGTACTCTGGTCAGCCAAGTCTAAATGCACCCCGTTCTCAGAAATAAAATCTACCTTTGGGAATTTGGATATTTTCCCTGCCAAAAAAATGTCGACTTGTTGCAAATTCAAAATTGATAAAAGAAACCCATGACTGTCAGCTCAATCAAAACATTTAATTTCAGCAAGGTTGGAATCATTCACATTAATTGAACATGTGCTTTTTGAGCAGCCAGGTAGAACAGGTGACCTCCCAGGGGCTGCTCCTGCCTGCATTACACTGTGATTCTGTGATTCCAGTTTCAAAAAGACTGACCTTTCAAACCAGCAAAGAAGCTTTTTCTTTGACAAAATGTTGAAGCTTGGCTGATTTCAAAATAGATCTCAATCGGGTATAAAAAGGTTTGAATGAGGTCTGGACTCAGTAAATGGGGAGATTGCTGCTGATTCTTTGTGCCTTTGAAATAGGGTGGTAAGAAAGTTTCTTGGTGTTAAGTGACAATTCTGACAGAACTGGCGTTATCAGTTTATTAGAAACTTTTGGTTTCAATGAATCACTGTTTTCCTGTGTATGTTGGGGGGAGGAAATCCCTCCAAACCTTGCATACAAGAAAAAAATACTGCAAATGGTTGGATTTAAATTCCAGTATTATGTTAAAGAACCAAGCAGTGCCTTACTTTCTCCATTAGGATATTACCGTTCAATCATTTTTCCTATCCCAAGTTCTTGGTCCTCAAATAATCTAGTG